CAGGGAGCAGAGCAGCAGGAAGTCAGGCATGGGGCTGGAGCCATAGCTGAGAGCTCGGATCTTGAGACCTATGAGGCAGAATGAAAGAGAAAGAAAGAGACACGGGGAAAGATGAAAATCTTTTAAAACCTCAAAGCCCAACCCCAGAGCACACCTCCTCCAACAAGGCACACCTCCTAATCTTTCCACCAGCTGGAGACCAAGTATTGAAATAGATGAGCCTGTGGGGGCCATTACCATCCAAACCATCACACTGCTGGAAGGCCATTAGGTTATCTTGGGGAATGTATTTTTTCCTTTGTGGGCCTGGGGTTAGAACATAGGGGCCAATGCATGCTCAGGAAGAACTCTACTACACCCTCCTACAGGTTCATTCTTGCAGTTAGTTCTTATGAGAAAAGATTATTATAAAAAGACTGTGCCTGACCTCCTAAATCCCTGGTTGTCTGTCTTTCCATGAGATTTTAAACCCACGTATTCTTGTTATTATGATGTCCCATGTCAAGAGGCTAGCCCCAGAGAGGTAGCATAGATATGGCCACCTGATCTGGGACTTCAGTTTCCAAAACCAAGCTAATTAAACTTCTTTACAAAGGACCTAGGCTCAGGTATTGTGTTATAGTGTAGAAAACAGATCAAGATGTCTTCTTCTCAAGGAGGTACTACAGCTAGAAATTTGGTAAGAGTTCTTACACTTTTAAGAGCTGTGTGTGATGGTGTACACTTGTAATCTCACCACTCTGGAGGCAGAGGCATGAAGATCAGCCACAAGTCTGAGGTTAGCCTGCTGTGGGATGTTTGTCTGTAGCTGTTGAGTATGTGTGGCTCCCATTAGATAATAAATAAAGCTGTTTTGGCCTATGGCAAGAAAGCATACAGCCATGTGGGAAATCCAGGCAGAGATACAGAGAGAAGGACAGAGTTGGAAATGCCAACCCATTTTCTGAGGAGCAACATGCATTTTCTGGGACACAGGTAAAGCTATGGAACACATGTCAATACATAGATTAAAAGTAATGGGTTGAGTTAAGATATACGAGCTAGCTAACAAGAAGCAAGATGCCATAGGCCATACAATTTGTAATCATTATTAAGCCTCTGAGTGATTATTTTATAAGCAGGTATGGGACTGTGAGGCTGGTGGGACTGGAGAAACTTCTGGCTACACTTGCTTGATCTACACCATGAGTTTCAGGGCAGTTAAGGGCAAGGTAGTGAGATTCTATCTAAAACAAACAAATATACACCTTTCCCCCTCTTTTTTCCCTGCTGACTTCTGCCAGTTCTTCTAGGGTTTTATCTGTGGGTCCCAAAATAAATGAAACATCCCAGAATCTCCTGGCTAGTTCACCAAATAGGAGAGTTTAAACAATAAATATATATAATTACATAGGAATATATATGAATGAATATAGTTTCTGGCATTTGAATACTTGACTCCGAGTTGATGGAGCTGTTTGGGAAGGATTAGGAGGTGTGGCCTTGCTTGAAGAAGTATGTCCCCAGGGGCAGGCTTTGAGAGCTTAAGGCCTCAACCTATTCCCAGTTGCTCTCTGCTCCCTGCCTCCTGTTTGCTGCTAGCTTCCCTGCTGTGATGAACCCTCTGCAGCTGTAAGCCCAAATAAACCCTTCCTTCTATAAGTTGCTTTGGTCATGGTGTTTTACCACAGCAATAGGAAGTGATTAATATAATCTCATAAATCCATAATTGGGAATATAAGTGAAAGAAATAACAGATTAAACCTATAATTCCAGCATTTGGAAGTTGAGGTAGGAGGATCACCATGTGTTTGAGTCCAAAAAGTCTCTGAACTCTCCATCTCATGGAGTGGGACTTAAATCCAATCGGGTATTGGTTGGTTACATCCACAAGCTTTGTGCCACTATTGTAGAAGCAGAGTTAGTCCCCTTAAAACCTCACCTTGGGTAACTTTGGCATTACCAGCATCAAAGTCCATGAGAATTTTCTCTTGTGCAGTTTCGATTCCCCGGAATAGTCCTCTAGTCTTCTACTTAGGAGACAGAAGCACCTAAGTGCCAGTCAAATATAGAACAATTCTGTTAGGGCTGAGAGGGCAGTTGCAGCACTTGAGCCTGCCCTAAGAAGAAAAAGTGGAGAAATTGATGACTCCTCAGGCACTCATTCAACCTGTCCCTCATGACTTTAAATTGTAGATGCTCAGAACTGGAAGGGTCCTTGTCCACTGACATGATTTGGCTACCACTTGATTTTGAAAGCAATCGTTATTCAACAAAAGGGTAGTGCAATTTTTTTTTTTTATTTCTTGAGAGAGGGTCTCTCTGTGTAACCCCCGTGGTTGTCCTGGAACTTGCTTTGCAGACCGAGCTGGTCTCAAACTCATGGAGATCCACCTGCCTCTGCCTCCCGGAAAGCTGGGATTAATGCCGCCGCCGCCGCCGCCGCCGCCGCCGCCGCCACCACCTCCAAGTTCAATCTACTTCGTAATGCTTTTAGTAATAAAGAACTCACAGCCCAGATTGCCCTAATTTTTGTCAAATAGCCTATAGAATCTTTAGAATAAGTAAAACATAAAATTAAAAAATAAATTTTATTTATTTCATTTGAGCTATGGAACTTGAGACCTTCCTTGTCTCGGAAAACAAAAAGCAGGGCTGGAAACCTGGCCTGAAGGTTGAGAGTGCTTTCTGCTCTTCCAAAAGACCCAACTTCAGTCCCATCACTCATGGGGCAAGTTCCTGTAAGTCCAGCTCCAGAGGATCCGGGGGATCCCTTCTGGATTCCAAGGCCACGTGCACTCATGTCATGCTGCCCTCCCCTCATGTAAAAACCCACAGCAGGCACCGGTTGGTGGGGCAATGGCTGGCCCATTCCCTTTAAGCAGTATGACATCAATGCCTGAATGGCTGCTGTTGTGAACTCCTTCACAATTGCACGAGAGGTGCACAGAAACCAAGTAAAACCTATAGTCATTTAAAATCAATAGTGTAGTATGGTACTTAATGTCAAACTAACGTGTTATGTCTATGCTGTTGATAGTCATATGCATGTATAATTTTAAGTCACTCTTTATAGTAGCAGCAGAAAATGAAGTGAGAAAGAATAAATCTAATAAAACATGATATTAATATGAAAAATATTATAGAACTTTATTGAAACACATTTAAAGATATAAGTGGAGATTCTCCTTTATGGATAGAAAGGCTTTATCATAAAAGTACCTGCTTTTCCTAGTCAAATTCATAAACTCAGTGTAACTCCAATAAAAATATACTTTTCCAGGGCACCTGACAGTATAAATACACAATACAGAGAAGTAGGAATTAAGAAATGATAGAGTGATTTAGAAGGACAAGAAGAGTGGGAAGAACTGACCCACAGGACATTAAGGCTTTTTTCAAAGATGCTATGGCACTAACACAGGGTCTACTTGAAGGAGACTGGAGAACCAGCCTGGGTCTGATGACGTACACCTTTAATCCCAGCACTGTACTGGGGAGGCAGAGGTAGACAGATCTCTAT